ACAGCAACTAGAAGGATGTGCAGCTATGACGTACAACTATCTACTGGGGCTTTGGGGGAAAAAATAAATAAATAAAATTAAAAAAAATAAAATAAAGTAAAAATAAAAACTACTTCATGAATTTTGGGGAGAATAAATGATACATATACTATGGTACAAAATTCAAAAGGTATGAAACGGTGTACGGTAACTGTAAATTTCTCCCTTCCATACCTGGCCCCAGCACCCTGTTTGACTCTTAGCAAGTAACCATTGATACTTGATGTATCCTTCTAGAGAGATTCTATACATAGGTAATTTAGTCAATTTCTAGATATAGTTATTTTCACTATAAGACAGAAAAAGGAATCATGTTAGGAGAAGATAAGATTATAGATTGTTTCTTTTTGGGTCCCTGAATTATTCTAACTTGTTCTTTTATAAGATATAATAACTGTGACTAAGTAAGGGAAGTAAATGGTATATGTCTGCTTTTTCCTTCCCTTTTCAGGGCACTTAGCATGATGTCTGCATCAACAGTCTTCTCTTCACTTCCCTCTTGAAGTCTTCACTTATTTCAGGAGAATTTAGAATTATTCCTGTATCTGGCATTCCTCAAGCTTATCACTATTGCAATTTTCTAGATGGTTTTCTGAGCCACTTAATTTAGTTCGTCAAAGAAATATTTGTTTGCATCCCAGGTGCTGTACCAGTTGTCAGCAATTCAAACGTGAATAAAATGTGGTCCCTCTCCTCTAGGAGCTACTATATAACTAGTTGTAATTGACAGAGGTAGGCAGAGAGAGGAATGGACCACAGCCCAGGAGGGGTTTTAAGGAGAGGTATGAAAGTAAGCTTCAATACCTCTTAGAAATCAGAGATGGAACTGAGCAAATATATATCGCATATACATAGGATATATTCTAGAAATATTAGGAGGTAATATTAGCAAGGACTTGTTCATTGGTCAAGTGTGATATAAAGTTAGAGGGAAGAGCCTGAGTCCCTGATTTTAGTCTTGGATAAATACGTGCCACTGACCGGGTTACCCTGTGTGTTTAGGGGGAAGATGATGACTTCAGTTTTGGACATTGTTTAAAGTGCCTGTGAATCATGCAAGAAGACCTGTCCTGTAGACTCTTGGATATAGGTGATGGGGGTTTTCAGAAAAAGGCAGGGTTAGAGACACATCTGAATCTTCTGCATGTTGGTGTTATTTAAATCAAGGGAGCTAGCTGAAGAAATTATTCAGGGAGGAAATGAAGTGTGAGAAGAGATAATGGGCAGAACCATAGGCATGTAAGGGCAGGCAGAAGAAGAAATAATCTGCAGTGGAGACTGAGAAGATAAGAAGAAAGCAGGAGAGTGTATTCTTGTCCAGGAAGGCAAGGCAAGGTCAGCAGAGTGAGATGCTGAAGAGAGAGGTCAAGTAACATAAGGGCTGAAAAACTGTCTATTGGATCTGGCCATAGAAGGTCATTGGTGACTTTGGTGAGACCAGTTCCATTTTGGAAGCTAAATGTTATGAATATGCAAGTGGATTATTTCTGCTGAGTTTTTTTGTGGTTAACCCAGTTCTGCCCTCAAAAACTTAAATGTCCTCAAGGATGAGCAGATAATGTAAATGAGTGAAGTGGGCTGGAGTGAATGGCCTGTCTAAAGGGAATAGCCCTACAAAACTCCAGATTGTTGATTCAATTTTTCCAAAGAGGCCAGATTTTTGGATTTTTCTTTTCAATTTATAAAGTTGGTAATGAATTCAAAGATTTTAAAAAACACTGTGCTGGTAAATAAAGCACATCTATGGGCTGCATTTGAGCTCTTAGTCTTTGTTTATGATTTAATTTTAGGTTTAATGTGCTAGTAGTTATCTAACATGCCTTCTTTTATTTAGGGTGTTCAAAAAGAGGAAAGAGAGAAGTACCGAAGGTTGTTGGAGCGACTTAAAGAAAGCGGTCATGGAAACTCTGTTCCTCCTGCAACTTCAGCTCATCATAGGTAAAAATAAGCTACAGGATAAATGCTTTGCCAGACATCTTTTTCCTTATTTTTGGAGAGGGGATTGGTGGCAAGGGCTTTGTTTGCAAAAGGAGGGTAACGTTGAGAGAACTAGCCCTGTGATTTGTCTGAACATTGTATCTAGTAACAGGTCATATAGAACATTGTATCTAGTAATAGATTATATAGTAATAGATTATATATATAATAGAAATAGAATTGTCTGTTGGCTTTAGAATCCTTTGTTCAAAAGAACCCTCACTTGAAACTCTGATACAGAAGATTGGAATCACTGGTTGAAGTTGGGTTCCCAGGGGGCAGAGTTTTTTTCAACTTCCCCAACACACACATTTCCCACAATCTGTGTCTCTCTCTGTCTGCCTCTCTTTCCCCCTCTTCTCCTCTCCTGCCCATCTTTCCCTTCCTCCCTTCCTCTCTCCCTTCCTCCCTGTCTCCCCCCACCCCCATGCATATAGTCTGTGAGGCATCGTAGTGCATGTATTTTAGCACAGTTGGAAACTATCCACTTTAGAGACAAGATTTAGAGACAAGTCATCCCAAGTCATAAGACGTTTGTCTTATAAGACTGCTTGTTAATTAAATATTCTAATGATTTGAGCAAATAGATGAGAGTAGCAGAGGAAGTTGATATCTGGCCTTATATTTGGATAAAAAAATATGTGAGCTCAGGATTGAGGCACACTTGATAATTCTAACTAGTGGTGTGAGAGGGGATCCCAGAAATTATGTCACAGCAAGTTGACGGTGAAAAAGTCACAAGACTATCTAGCTTGTTGAATGCAGAAATAACAAAGGATTATTCGTCTGGGAATTTTAACTTTGGTTGTTAACTTTTTAAAAACAATTCTCTTAGTTTTGTCAGTCAGAATGTTAATGTTTTCTCCATTGTGACTAGCCACTGTTGGAAGCAGCAGTATGCTTCATGAACGACTGGTTTTGTCATGTCAGTAAAATCCTCAAACCACTGTGCTTTTTATGTTCCTGCTTTTAACGTGTTGTTTTAGGATCCATTTCAGTATATCATTTAAAATTTCTCTTCTTTTAACCTGAGTTTTGTCACACTGAGGTTTTTCAGTCAAGGTGGTGCTGGGGATTGAGAGCATCCAGGTTTACGAATAGAGAGACTGGAGGTTGGGTGACCTGGCTGAAAGAGTAGAATCAGGATTAGACTCCTTTTATCCCAGTCCCAGGTGGTGCTATGTTGCATCCTCTCTCCTGTAATTTGATGTTTCAGGGTGATTAATAACTCCTGCTTGGAGAAACTTGCCAGACAGAGATAGTGAATATTTACGGTAGATTTTCCTTTTGTATCTGATCTTCTTCACTTTTTGTGTTTCTAAGTTCTCAAAGAAGTCACATGGACACATTAAAGACCAAAGGCTGGGGGGACGAACAAAGTCACGGAGTCAAAACAACTCAGTTTGTTCCAAAACCATGTGAGTTCCTAGATTTAGCCCTATCTTAATATATTGAACTTAGGTCACATGCATATGAAATTGAAAAATGACATACTAGTGAAAGACGGTGTACCAAACTTTAAAACATTATCAGACCCCAGGGCATTGACTGGGACTTATCCAGTACCAGTAGTTTAGTAAAAAAGCTATTTCAAGATGAAGCAGATTTATAAAATACCTCTTGATCATTATTCCTAGCTTCAATATAGTAGCACATATTTTGTGATCCTAAAATTAATTTCTTTATATTCCTTAATTTCCTTGTATTTCTCTACTTGCTGTTCAATAAAGGACACTAAATGATAGCTTACCAAATGAGCAGCCATCAGTCAGTTTACACTAAAGATTAGATTTAAAGAAGAAAGAGATTTGTGCATTTTTAAGCAACTTAATTTGTGAGGAGGCTAGTGTCTTTGGAATTCATTTTAGCATTTCAGGGTAAGTGAATGTCTTGATACTTGAAAACTGTAAGTTAAAATTCTAGCTGTGTGATTGATTAATAAAGGAAGTATTTAATTTTTTCTTTACCGTCCTCACAGATAGAGTTGTTGAAACAAGGGGACCTCTGTGTTCTGTGAGAAGTGAAAAGAGGTACGTGGTTCAGTTCATTCTGACATATTATTTTCTTACTTTATAAGCTATATTTTTGAGTAACTATGTCTGAGGGATTGTGAACTCTCCTCAGCATTGGTGGCCGGTCAGCATGTATGGGCACATAAGTAGCTCTTGTGTCAGATGCTCACCTTAGCTAGGGAGGGTGCCCTTCTCTCCTGAGCATTAGGGGTTGGGAGACACTGGTGCCACTTAGATAAGAGTGTGGTCTGGTGGGCATCTCTAGTGATTGACATCTCTACTGATCAGCATCTCTACTATATGAACAGTGAAGGCAGTTCTAAGTGCCTTAGGATTTTGGATGATAGTTCATTTATAGCAGAGTTTGGTAAACTATAGCCTATGGGCCAAATCTGGTCCACCTGCCTGTTTTTATAAGTAGAGTTTTATTGGAACACAGTCATGCTCATTCATTTACATACTGTTTATGGCTGCTTTTAAACTACAGTAGAAGTTGAGAAGATGTGACAAAAACCATAAGACCTGCAAAGCCTAAAATATTTAGTCTGATCCTTTTCAGAAAAATTTTGCTGACCCTTGGTTTAGAGGACTATGTAAACTCAAGGCATTTTTGTTTGCAAATTATTAAATCTTATTTCTAAAACTAGTCTGACTTTTACCAGGTTAAAATCATCCGGTTTGTAATCTCTCAATTTTTTTTCTGCAGGTGTTCAAAGGGGAAAATTTCTGATATAGAGAAGACAGCTGGAATCAGACTTGAAAATGAAGGTGTAAGTAGAAACCCTAGTTAAATTTTATATCTTTTTGCTCTTTCACCTGACTTACATTAAAGTTTTGGTGCCCATGAAAAATAAGAAAGATGGTGTATGTTACTTTGATTTCTAATTCTGTTGTTTTCTTTGAAAAAGCAGCAGGCATTGAAGGTATACAACTTTGACTTTCTTCTGAGTTACCAGATTTTTATCTCTGTGCGGTAGCCACCTTTGTTTATAAGAGAGAACAACTTGCCTCCATCTCAACCCTTATCTGTGTTGCCTGGCTGCTTTTGGAGAATTTTTAAAAACTATACATCCCTAGGAAAGATTTATGTTCAGGACTTTCTTTTCAGAGTCAAGATGTTGGATTTACTTGAAAATATTATCAATCATGCTTAATTGGATTTTACATTTTCTATATAAGTATCAGAATAAGAAGTGTTCCAGTGATCTCCATAGCAATACCAACATTTTTAACAATAGTGGCAAACACTCTAAATTCCAAAGAAATATATTCCTAAATTAAATGCAACTTGAAGTTTTAGCTTATTTCACATTTTAGATACATAGAAATACCAAAGTTTAGGGGACTGCTTTGTATTAGGTATCAGTTTGATCAAGTTTCTCTTCTCTCATTAGATCTCTTCATAAGAATTAGTCTTAAGGCTAACTCATAGTCTTAAGTCTTAAATCTTAGAATATTCCTTTCTCTAATGTTCCCCATTTCCAGTGATTCAAAGTGAACTTTTTGTGTTTAATTATCATTTATCACATGTGGAACAAAAACTGAAAGAAGAGGGGAACTAAGCCTGACAGAGGATGGGAGGTGGGGGATATTTGTTGCCTGGCGTATTTGTTACTGGGCCGATGACTACATCCTGCTTCTGTCCTTGCTGAACCTGAAGGCTTTGCTGTCTGGGACCATGGGGAAGGGCCAGCAGCTACTGGTTTCCTAGGACCCGTATACCTGGCAGTTAGCTAGAGTGAAGAGTACGCTAGGTGTGTTGAGAGTGTGGTTCTAATCAAAGGTCTATTTTTAAATAAATTTCCTAATTTTAAAATAGTTTGCCTAGGGCCGGCCCCGTGGCTTAGCGGTTAAGTGCCCGCGCTCCGCTGCTGGCGGCCCGGGTTCGAGTCCCGGGCGCGCACCGACGCACTGCTTCTCCGGCCATGCTGAGGCTGCGTCCCACATGCAGCAACTAGAAGGATGTGCAACTATGACATACAACTGTCTACTGGGGCTTTAGGGGAAAAAAATAAAAAATATAAAATAGTTTGCCTAGCAGATGACTTAAATTCAGTACTAAGGGTTACATAGGGTCACGATAAGGAAAGGCTCTTATCAGAGTTTCAGGGATGCTGGCAGAATTCTAAATGGTGGTTACATAGGTGTTAATTTTGCAAAAAGTGGTATATTAATGTTTTGTGCATTTTTCTGTAATATATAAATTACTTTTTAAAAATGATGAAATAGAACATGTTTACTTAGTATAAGGATAGCAGTGGTTTATTCTGAGTTGTAGGATTATGGATCATTATTTTTTGCTTTTTTTTTCAACTTTTCAAAATGTCTTTTAACTATATTATTTTTAATTGGGATAAGAGAACTAGAAATACTTTTCTTGCTACTTCCAGGGAAAATGATGAGTGTTCTGTTTCATGGTTTGTAATTGAGGTGTCCTGTGAGCCTTGAATGTTTTTTTGTTCCCTCTTGCAGGGACAGGCAGATATGCTAAATCGACTTTACTCCTTTGGGGATTTGCTGATTCTCTTTTCTTTTAAGATAATGGCACTGTTTTATATTTCCTATGTTATGTATGTTTATATGTGCAAGTATCAAACATGTCAATAGAATATAAAACTTTTTTAATCAGAGGAGAGGACACCAGCTGGAACCTGACCTATCTGAAGAAGTGTCAGCCCGACTCCGCCTAGGCAGTGGAAGCAATGGCTTACTCAGGAGGAAAATGTCAATACTTGAGACTAAAGAAAAAAATTGCTCAGGCAAAGAGAGGGATAAAAGGACGGATGATCTTCTTGAACTTACAGAGGTATTGTTTCCTGTGTTGATCAGAATAAGAGGCATGTTTTTAAATAACCTCAGTTATTCAAGACTTGAGTGAATGTTTTATTTTGAAGAGGCTCTCCAGGCAGGGATGAATATATGAAAGAAATCAGGCCTAGGGCTGTTCAGTAACTGGCTGCATTGATTATTAGTGATCTGTGAAGGTGGCCTAAGGGATCAGATTAATGATCAGCAAATGTGGGTAGATATAAGTGTCATGTATCTTGGAATATAATGGGTTCTTTGTAGATTCTTTTTCTAACTTTAAAATATTTTGGGTTACATAGTATGGGTTTTGCATTAGGAATGAGTTCATTGCAGTTTTTTTTTTAAGTGATTATGGTTTACTAAAATGTCCCTTTCATTCATTATTGCACTTGAAAATAGTAAAAACTTATAGAAAATGAGAAAATGAAGGTAGTTAAAAATTCTCATTTTAAAGGTGAGCCCACATCTTGGCTCTTTCTCCATTGTTGTCTTAGTAGGTGGTAGTCAGTCCTATTCAGTGACTGTCTCTTGAGCACTTACTGTATATTGGGCATGCGAGTGGAGAGAGCATGCCACAAAATTGCAAAATTGTGTGCAAGGGGGGAAGCAGTATTAAAAATATTTGGATGTAAATAATTTCTATTGGGTTTATAGATTCAGTCTTATAGCGTAAATATGCATTTATCTGCATAATTCTTTAGAATAATGATGCCATCTATACAATAAGGACTCAGTTGCTAGACTGCTGCCTAGTTTTCCAGTTTCTGCCTGTTTGCTTACTCTCTTCATGTCAAAAATGGATAGTGTGACCTCTTAGGTGTCCTAATTTATTACTTGATGTTTTTAAATAAAAGTTTAGGAGTTAAGTAAAGAAAGTATGAAAATACTTTATTATAGTATTGTGAAAGGAGCAAAGGCCAGGAAGTTAGACACTCCTGAGTTCAAATCTTGGCTCTGCTTTTTAATAGTTATATGATTTTGGACATGTAACTTAAATTCTCTGAGCTTTACTTCTTGTATAAAATGGTAATAATACTTTCCCCCACAAGCAGGGATTAATGATGTACTTCAAGTATCTGGTACCATGTTTGGCTCATATGATAGCCAATGAATGATAGTGGGATAATTGAGACTATATTTTAAATATAAATATTACCAATTATTGTTTCCAGAGCTAATAATTGAACTAACATTTTTTATAACCATTCCTAAGACTGCTTTGTAGTGCTAAGTTTGAATATTTTCATACCTCGATTTAGTAGGTCTTTGATAATAGATTTTTCTCAAGGGTCAGGTATTACAGAAATGAAAAGTGTTTTTCAGGCTCAGACTTGCAGTATCTGATAGTGGTTCTATATTTAAGTAGCAACCTCTGGGCTTTCTAATTCAGGACATGGAAAAGGAAATCGGTAATGCCCTAGGCCATGGCCCACAGGATGAGATCCTAAGTAGTGCTTTCAAACTGCGAATCACTCGAGGAGATATCCAGACCTTGAAGAACTATCACTGGCTCAATGATGAAGTAAGTTGTCTTTTTTTCCCCCTTTGACTATCATTATGCTTAACCATTTACTGTCCATAACCAAAGTGATTTCTACCCAAATATAAGGTGTTGCTAAAGCAGCTTTTAGTTTTATCTAAAACAAAAACATCTTAAACCTTTAAAGATGGTTAATTCTGATTGTTTGCTGCCTTTAATTAGCAATGTTTCTCTCTTCTGCATCTGTGCTTTGTTTCATCCACCACTTCATTTACTAGTCTTCAATGACATTTTAGTAAACCCTGGGTGCAAGTGATGAATGGAAGGAAGCAGCAAGTAATGCTTTATTTATTTATTTAATTTATTATTTATTTATTTATTTTAAAAAATAAATATTTATTTATTCTTATAGGAGCCATTTAATTTTTTCAGTGATAAAGGGATATATTGATCACTAGATGTATACTGCATGTCTTTTTCTTTATTTCATTTGAGTGATAACTGCAAAAATTTGCCCAATTGTCATCTTGTATCCTTATGTATTTAGCTATAGCTAGCTCTTGGTTCTTGTCTATTTTCCAGTTAGACCTTTACCCAACTCCTCAGACCCTGCATTTTCTCCCTCTGCCTTCCTTCCTCTTCCCCTTATGGCTAGTGTCATATAAACACATTCTTGTAAAACTAGAATGTTTTGTTTCATATTATAAATGTCATGTTTATTATAGAAAATTTAGAAAATACAGGAAAAGTGAACAATATTATCGTTCAAAAGTGCCAACACTCAAAAATAAACAAAATATTAATGTTCTGGTATATTTCCTTCCAGTTAATATTTCCACATATTTTTTGTGTGATACAGTTACATACACCTTTTCATTATTGCAGACTTTCTCCTTGAGTTCTTTCTCTTGGCTCTCTTTGTTTTTTTTTTTTTTTAATTTTTTTTGTGAGGAAGATCAACTCTGAGCTAACATCCATGCTAATCCTCCTCTTTTTGCTGAGGAAGACCAGCCCTGAGCTAACATCTATTGCCAATCTTCCTCCTTTTTTTCTCCAAAGCCCCAGTAGATAGTTGTATGCCATAGCTGCACATCCTTCTAGTTGCTGTATGTGGGATGCGGCCTCAGCATGGCCGGAGAAGCAGTGCGTCGGTGCACACCCGGGATCCGAACCTGGGCCGCCAGTAGCGGAGCGCGTGCACTTGACCGCTAAGCCACGGGGCCAGCCCCTTGGCTCTCTTTCTCATATGCCTCAAAAGTATAATTTCATTCCTTCTCAATCCCTCCCATTTTGCACTGATCATTTATTATTTTCCACATTCTGCCATAGACAGTCCTTTTATCCCCTTCCTTAGTATCTTCTCTTCCCTAAGCTTCTTACCTAATTCAGTAAGGTAGAAATTTAGTTT